TCTCCGGTTATTCTGTCCCCCCCCCTCCAAATCTCCTCTGCTCTTAAAATGTGCAAGGTTTTGTGCCTGGGCACGGGGAGAAGGGAAAGGCAGGAGGAGAACCGGCGTCTCTCCTCCCTCGCCTCTCTTTCTCTCTCCAGCGACTTCGTTTAACTGCAGATTCCTCCCCCCCTCCACGGCTCGAAACGTGTAGTCTAATTTTGTTTAAAAACTTCAACAGTCCCACCCCGCAAATATAGCTAGCCTTGATCACTCCTAGCCCAATAAAGAGTTCTGGAAAGCTTACAAAGTCTTTTGCAATTACAGTGGGTGCTAATGAAAGCGTCGCGCCCTCTTCCCACGCCTGGATTTCGGATGTTTAATTATCTTCCCAACATGTTCCCAGCCCCGGTTTCCTCTTCGGAGGGGTTACTTTTAATGCCTCTAAAGCCTTAAAAGTCTGAGTAATTTCGATGGCATTTCGTTACAAGTTCCTTTTCTCTGCCCTCCTCTCAGCGTCTCTTAACTCTAAACCTTTTCTAATTCCCTTCCCAAATACCCTTCTCTCTTGCTGCGTTTTGACGGGAAGGTCCAGCGGTCCACTTTCCTTTATTATTCAAAGAAATAATAGTTACCATTTTAATACTATTAGGAAAAAGCGGGATCCTAACAGGAAATGAATAACAACCTCTTAGATTTCACCCTGCTGATAAGATCCTGCATTCTTTTTTTTTCCCTTTGTGTGCTTGTGTGAATACTATTAGGAAAAAGCGGGATCCTAACAGGAAATGAAGAACAACCTCTTAGATTTCACCCTACTGATAAGATCCTGCATTCTTTTTTTTCCCTTTGTGTGCTTGTGTGTGAGAGAGTGACTAAAGTGTATTCACTGAATCACTTTTTTCATGCATATTCTAGCAGCCGATTAGATCACTCCTTTTATTCATGCTGATTGTACAGAAGCGAAAAAGCGGGATCCTAACAGGAAATGAAGAACAACCTCTTAGATTTCACCCTACTGATAAGATCCTGCATTCTTTTTTTTCCCTTTGTGTGCTTGTGTGTGAGAGAGTGACTAAAGTGTATTCACTGAATCACTTTTTTCATGCATATTCTAGCAGCCGATTAGATCACTCCTTTTATTCATGCTGATTGTACAGAAGCCTTGCATGGATGCCAACCCTTCTTACATACATGCACACCTGCAGAAAAGTTGCACCCCTCCATACATATACAGAGACAATAAGGAATTCTGTACCCTCAGGGGGAGCTAAAGTCCCAGTGAATGAGATCAGTGGGTTGTGGGGATTTCCCCCCCCCATCCAAATTACAAGGGGGGGCAACTGGGGAAAAAAGCCACGTTAATTCATATTGATATTGCTTCCTTGCGCATAACTTTGTGAAATTTTATAGCACTTTCCTGTAATGGCAGAGTTTGGCATTTGCTCTTCTGACACCAAATGCAGTGCCATGATCTCTGAGCCATGATCTTATGTGGCTTTCATGTCCCAAACCACTGAATTCCAATCTCTACAAAACTGGACTCCTCCCACAGATCTCCTGATTCCCCCACGATATCTTTAGATGAACCTTCCCAGGTGTATGCAACCTCTAGCAACATCCACTTCTCTCTCCACCTTCTGCTGCTGCTGGAAAGAGATGGGAGTTTTCCCCAAATGACTCTTAAGATTCTCCCCCCACCCGGTCAAAAAAACTGCCAAACTTGGTGAGAAATAAGAAAAATCATTCTATCCCATGGCTATCTCATTTTTTTGTTTGTTTTCTGACTAGGACTCCTGAAATATCTCAATCTAAAAGAGCCCTTTATTTAAAAAAAAAAAAGATTTGATGAAGGAAACTCTGAGCTGTCTGGAAGTAGGAATATATTGTGGATGACAGTGTTTCTCTTGGGAATCTCTGAGGTGTACCAACATTTTATTATGATGTGTTTATATTTCTCCTGCACAGCAGGTTTAGAGTCTATTTCAAAAGTTTAAAACTGAAATAAAATTTTCACAGTCTCTTTGAAGAGGAAAAAAAAATATATCTAAACCCCCCCCCAAAGGCATTCTTTCCCACTCAAAAACCTAAAAACAACTGTTTTTGTTTTATGCTTCGATTCCCCCCCTTCCTTTTTTTAAAGGACTGCTTCTGGGAAAGACTGCATTTAATTGCCAAGTGAACAATCAAGTTTACTTCTTAATTCCCCAGCAGGGTGTTGTAACTGTGGGTTGCTTCTTTATTTCAGAAGCATGTTAATCCAATAAAGGAGAAAAGAACTAAGTCCAGATACCCAGATAAAATCTAATTTTGTGAGCTTGGCTAGCAGTCCCTTGTGACCGCCTATGTACTCTTAAAAGGAAATCATGCCATTGATTCCACCAGTTCCTGGGAAGTACAGTTTTTTAATAATATCAGGGGAAGATTTATTGTTTTGTGGTTAAAAAAATAAAATAAAGGAAGCCCAACAGTAGTCTCGTTTTTAGTTCCAAACCTCTAACAAGAACAAAAATATATATTTTTGGAGAGCAGTGTTTGGCAGCTCTTTCCACAAAACACCTGTCATGTTTAAGTGTTGGAAAAGCAAATTTAATGACAGTTGAGCCTCTGTGTTTTGTTTTTCCCCAAGTCTTTTCAAAATCTGCCTGCTTTAAAAATGCCGGGAATTTGGAGCATATGAGAAATGCAAAACATAGCAATGGAAATGGCAGGTATCTTCCTCCTTAGCGTTCCCTTTCTACCAAACTGCCGAAGTCCAAAATACATTCTTTCTGTGTTTCTCAAAATAGACTTTACAGATTGGTATGATTTCACCACCACCAAATGTGGGTTTTGCATGACAAACCCAGTACGTGTCTTAAGTTATTGACATCATAAGAGCTTGCGACAAATTTGATTAGATGAGGAAGTGATTTTGGGGGGGAGAACATCATTGGGGGGAAAATAAGACTTGATGTCAGCAGGGCTTACAAAATAACTTCCGTATCATGCCATTATTAGTTTTCTTTCCCGCCCCCAATTTGCTACTATTTAAAAATAGCAACCAGACTGCTTTCTTTGGAGAAGTTCAGAACTAAACAATGAGAGAGAGAAGACCAGCCCTGCTTTCAGATTATACCTATTTTAATCAGGTTAGCCTTCTGAAGAAAAAGACGTGCAACCGGAGTAAGTATACGGTGGCTTCCAGGGCATACACGCAAATGTAAGTGAAGCCCTTGTATGGGGATCAAGGATTGATCAGGATGGAAATACTGCAGCCTTTTAACGAAGTGACAATGGTGGAAGGAAAAGTTAAAGGGGAAAGAAAGTCTTGCTGTGCTATCAGAGTTTATTAAAACATAGCCATACTTTGTACACTGTGCACTGAGATTGTATGTGTCTATGAATATGAGAGAGAGAGCGCGCGCACAGTTTCAGATTTAGCTTTGCATGTGAAGTATTTGTATATACACTTGATTCTTAATCATTTTGATTTCTGGTTAAGTTTTGTTGGTCTTTCTTTCTTTCTTTCTTTCTTTCTTATAGTGCTGTTTGTTGGAAAGAGAGCAGGCAAGACTGCAGGGATGCTAGATTAAACTCCAGTGAACACCAGAAGAGGTCACTGCTCTTTGTATATTAGGAGAGCCTTAAATGTGATTAGTCTTTCAAAAAAAAATTTCTTTTTTTATTAAATTTCATTGCCCAAATAAATCCTCTGTGTGGAAGCAGGCCTGCTTCTCTGGTTGTCTGACTGAATTATTTATTTGGCTTGGCTTTTAAAGACTTATCCCTTGGTCTGTCCGGCTTCCTTGTCTAATCCTGCCTGTTCATCGTCTGTTCTCCTTCTCCATTTACTCTTAAGGAACAAGCATGGCTCTTGCTGTATGCTGAGCACAAGTCTGTTCACAGAAGGGGGGAAAATCTGTTTACGCAGCTTTTGTAATGCTAACAATAACAGCTACTTTTCCAGGAACTTACACAGTTTCTCGAAACTCATACTCTTTAAAAATAATATTCTATGGGGACCTCACTTTTGCTGATATAAAGTTTTCTATTTTTCCCTGCAGCTTGTTTGCTTGGCTTATTATTTATTTATTTTAATTTTGCAGGTGGCGTTTGTGAAGGAATTTGCTCTCTCCCCCCTCCTCTTCTTACCATCAAGAAGCAGCAGCATCTCAGGAAAACACATGGTCTGTATTTAAGAATTGCCCTTTTCTGGTGCCTCCCTCCCCTCTCCAAAGAAGACAAAAGGAGGAAGGAAGGAAGAAAATGCATGAATCTATTTTAAAAATACTACCATTGCAACTAATGATAATATGACAAGAAACGCCGACTCAAGCCACTCATTTATTCTTTTTGCAGAAACTATATTCCCAAAGATTAGATTCATAGACTTTTTAAGTTGCATATTATGCTACTGTACTATTTTTTTAACGTATTTTCCCCCACTCAATAAAATAAAGCCTATTGCAGCTACAAAGCACTTTAGACAGGTTTCCCCACAACAGAGGGAACAGGAATGAAGAAAACCTGATATAGCCGCAACTGCATCATCTTTTCCCTTTTCCCTCCCCCCTGCCCTCCACTGGTCAAATTTCATCACAGAATCAGAACTTGATAGCTCTATTGATTGATTGTGGAGAGTCACCTCTAGCTTTTTTCCATGTTGATTTATGTACCAAAAATAATTTTAAAAAAGCAAAAACAAAATGTTAAGGAAGGCTTTGGACTCCTGACCCAACAGGCTCGGAAAGAGTGGCTCATTTTCTGCAAGAAAAGCAATCTTCAAACCTGGCCTTTGTAAGACTTTTCTGTTGCCTGAACAAGCATTCAAAAGTGGAGAACCGCTCTTACAATCATCTGGACCGCCTGAATATACATTGTTTGGAATCGATGTGGAATTTCCATGCGAATCTGGAGAGCCTCCCCTAAACCAGGATCTGCCTTGCTCTGGATTCTTGGCGTCCTCTTTACCCTGGAACCTTGTGCTTGGCTTCTGCTGCCATGCTGCATCAAGCTGCTTTCTTGTTGCATTGCCTCCCCCTGGTCATGGGACAGTATGACATCTGTAAATCCTGGGTGACCACAGACGATGGGCCCATGTGGGAGTTTTATGCCTGCCAACCAAAGGCTGTGCCCATGAAGGACTACGCAACGGTGAGAGTAGATCCATCGGGAATCACTTGCGGAAATCCCCCTGAGAGGTTCTGCACTCATGTAAGTTGAAACATTCACTGTTTTTTTTCATAATGGGTCTGCAATAGGAGCGTGCATCTCACAGGGACTGTCAAGTCACTCGGGAGGCTGGTGACTTCCATTTTGTCTCTCTCTGTGTGTGTGTGAGGAATCTGCTCCTATTTTTAGTATGAACTTTAAATGAATTATCCACAGTGCTGAACCTGTTTTAGGGATAGAGTGCAGCATCCTGGATACTGCTCCTATTTTTAGTATGAACTTTAAATGAACTATCCACAGTGCTGAACCTGTTTTAGGGATAGAGTGCAGCATCCTGGATACCTCCTGGAAAATTTGGGCGCTAAACCCTAGAGCAGATTTATTGCTACTGCTGAGGTGAAGGGTTCACTCTAAGGGTATAACAATAATAATAGGGGGAGAGGCTGTGACACAGTCTTAAAGAACCTGCACGGAATGCAGAAGTTCTCAGGTTTTAGCCTCTCCACATTAAAAAAAAAAGGATCTGGTAATTGTTGGTAGGAAACACTTGCTTTAAATTGTACAGAACATCTGCCATTCACAGGAGACCAGGTTAGGCCATAATGCTAATACTGGTCCAGTGCACCTTCCTTGCATCAAAATATGCTGGGTTAATTTCCCATCATCTCCCAGCAGGTTTAGAAAAATGTCCTGTCTGGAAGTCTGGAGAGCCACGTCCAATCATTAGAGACAAGAGTTGGTCAGAATATGGATTAGGATTTTCTTGGTTGTTTTGCAGAAGACCCTCAAGGTTTTCTAATTCCCAATTGTTAGAAGCCACAAAAGTATATCACGGACAGAGAGAAAGCCTGGGGTGGCCAAGAGTGGGATTTTGTGTAGAATTGTGTAGAACGGTCTTCTTGTTTCAATTTTGCAGCTAAAAACAAATGTCTGGATTCAAGAGGTTATTAATTCTGAGTATTTCAACCAGCCTCTGGTCGGTCGGTCTTGGGATTCTAATAAAAAAATGAAAAGGATGTCCTGTAAGTCTAAAGCCTGCCCATCCCTCATAAAAACAGTATTGAGGTCAACCAATGGTCTGGTTTAATTTAAGTCCTTTTCCTTTTTTAACAGTGGGACAGAAGTATTGCTTCTTTGCATGCAGAGAAACCATTCTTTCCCTCTCCGTAAGAGCTGAGAACGGCTTCTCTCTGAAACTGTTGAGCATCACTGTACATTCCCAGCGTTAGATGTTAGTGGAGACTGATGACTCCCATATCAGTGGGGTTTTAGTCTGAACTTTAAAGGAGCGGCACAAGGTGATGCTATTTTGGGCACAGGATTCAGCATCTGGAGTCATTCTTCTAAGGCACAGAGCAAATTCACTATCCTATTAACAGTGAAGCCACCAGCCTTACCTGCTACATCGGCCAACGATCTGTCAGCTGCTTGGAAAAGTTGCAGCTTGGGACTATCATTCCCATGGTGACTAGGAGATTTTGGGTGCTCTAATATCTCTCCAAACTCTGTGTTTGATCCAATGAGGAAACTTTCTAAGGTTCCCTAGACAAACAGGTAGTCCGGCATGGCATTTGGAGTCTTCCAATACGTTTTATGCACTTATAGCCATATCTGAATGCCTCTGTTATGTTCCTGAATTAGACTCTGCATGACCTTGACAAGAACAATCAGGATCTGCACACAGAGTGAAAAATGCGAGCCATGCTAGCGATTTTCTGAAGTGGGAACGGCAATTAAGCTTGAGAGAAAATCCAGTGAGAATTTACCATGTTATGCAAAATCACAAGTGTTTTTGTTCATGAGACTTGAAAGGTCAGAGGCTAAACTCATTTTCCATACCTGGACATATATACAACAGCTTAAAATTAGGTAACAGAGTATAGCTTGTAAAAACTTTTTTTGGACTGTAACTTCCATTATCTGCCCCCCTGCAAGCCAATATGGGCAGCACAAGTTATAGTCCAAGACTTTTGCAACATACCAACCGGGGTGATTTTTGGCCAGTCTAACCTCCTTCATAGTGCTTTGTGAAGGTAAAATGGAAAGAAAACTATGTTGCTGTAGGCTCCTTGGAAAGAAGCACATATATGCTGGGGGGGGAATCAGCTGGTATGTTTGAATTCACTTCTCCCATCATTTATATGCTTTGCACAACTGTAAATGCTTTTATATGCATGAAGACCAGAAGTCATACATTAGAACCTTCCTCTAAGCTAGTTCTCTCCAGTTGGGTTGGACTACAATTTCCAGCAACTCAGGGGTGAACAGGGACGATAGGTGCTGTAATCCAAACATTAGGAGGGAGCCAAATTGGACAAGGTTTAGGGAGACATGCAGGGTAGCCATCTTGCTACAGCTAAATAAGTCTTGGCCAGTGCTTTAAGGCAGTGGTCCCCAACCTTGGGCCTCCAGATGTTCTTGGACTTCAACTCCCAGAAATCCTGGCCAGCAGAGGTGGTGGTGAAGGCTTCTGGGAGTTGTAGTCGAAGAATATCTGGAGGCCCAAGGTTGGGGACCACTACTTGAAGGGGTAATGGTACACACATACACAGCGGTGAGCTGCTAAGTTAGGTTGTGAGTGCCGTACCTAAAACTGGCCATGTTCCATGATTTGCAGCATCAGCACTTAACTAAACCCCATAACCAAGCTCAAGTTAATAGCAGTGATGATGAAACAAATGTGCATTTCCCCCCTTTTTACTTTCCTATCTCTCCTTACCTCTCTTGCTGTTTACCTGGGCTGAATTTAAGACTAGAAGCTCCTTGAGGACAGAGACTTGTCCCCTTGCATGGTATCAAGAGTCATGCACATTGATGGCTCTATGATATCATCATCATCATTGTACTGTCAGCGTTGCTTTCTCCTTGCACCAAAAAAAAAAAAAAACACCACAATTCATGTTGACCTTATCATGTAGAATGCAGCTGTGTGAACCGGTCTGCTATCAAGCCGCTATAAATGTGAACTGTAGACACCCTTTTACTTGTCATACACAACCAACTAGGCACTTAGCTATTCACAAAGTCATTGTATGACACATGCAGTTTTTGACACTGCTCATCTTTCTTTTTAATATAGTTTTGCTTAAAGACGGATGGATTGTGATTTGGGGCAGGGCCAGGGAACTCTGTCAGCGTTGCTTTCTCCTTGCGAAGCTCCTTGAGGACAGAGACTTGTCCCCTTGCATGGTATCAAGAGTCATGCACATTGATGGCTCTATGATATCATCATCATCATTGTACTGTCAGCGTTGCTTTCTCCTTGCACTTTTAAAATCATATGTTGCTTCTTTTCCAGGCATGGAGAAAGGTGTAGATTTCAATCCGTTGTTTAAGAAAGGAATGGAAAGGAAATTATCTCGTTTGCATCATGCAAATTCAGTTGATACAGCCATTCCTGGTGTGGAGATGGCTAGGATATAGATTTATGCATTTATTTATTTATTTATTTATTCCAGATATTTATAGACTGCTTGACTTAGTGCTCAGCACTACTCTAAGCAGTTCACAACAAAGAACAACCCAAACACCACAAAAGCCAATATTCACACCCACAAATAAACCATACGTCACATTAAAACCCAAATAATGGTGGAAACACAGATATAAATTAACTTAAACGAGCATGTCCTTAAATGCTTCTTGAAAGAGAATGGTTTTTAATATCCTCTTAAAGGATGGGAAGGAGGGGGGGGGCTGATGAACTTCTGGCAGGAGCTTTCTCCATTGGGAGGGGACCATGATGGAGATGTGAAAGGTGACAAGCCTCTCAGGGGAGAAAAGGCTGGTGTTCCTTACTCCACATAGCAAACTTAATGGAATGTGTGTGAATTTCAGAGGGTCCTGTGTTAAATTTGATTTGCGCAAACCAAGTGCTGTTATAAGCGTCGTGTGTAGGAGAAGGATGGACAGCTTTGATAAATCTGGGGGCCAGTTTTGTGCCTTCACCATGTGCTTCCCACCGGCAAAAGAAAGGAAGGACTGGATGGCTTTTTTTCAACATTTAATTTTTATTTTAAATGTTTAGGACCCTCTGCTCCTATGACCTGTTCAAAGCATGACTCCTAGATTTGGGAAATTTCTAAAACGAAAAACAAATTACTTCCCACTGGGGAAGGAGGGAACAGGACGGCTGGGGTCTGAGGGGCTCGTAGGTGAAGAAAGAAGCTAGGAGGTGATACCTGCATTACGAAAAACAAATTACTTCCCACTGGGGAAATTTTTTTTTTTAGGAGGGAACAGGGTGGCTGGGGTCTGAGGGGCTCGTAGGTGAAGAAAGAAGCTAGGAGGTGATACCTGCATTCCAGAAATGTTGCTTTGACCACTCCTGGTGTAGAGGAAGAAGAGAAAGATGCTATGTGGATTTTCCACCTCCTAGCACCACTGTGTCTCAAGTCAAGACCTTCCTGTGTCTGTGTTTTCCCCTCCTAATGGTACAGCCTCAGCAAAATGCTCTTGAGCGGGAGAGTGCTGCCCGGCATAACTTAAGGCAAAAAGATAATGATGGCCTTGAGATCAAAGGGTGAAACTCGGGGAAAAACCTAAAGGTTGGTTTTAGATCTCATTATCAGCTTGCGGATGCTAAATAATGGATGGAGAGGAGCATGAAGGGCAGAGTTGTCGTCTTTTTCTTCTTTTTTAAGTATCTATTGAAAAATCAGTCCCATGTCTTTGTTGCCAAGCATTTTTTTAAAAAAAACCCAACGTTTGAGACATATGACCATTATTGGATGTAATTATGGGTTAAGGGAGGCAGAAAAGAAGAGAGCAAGTTTTCGTTTGGCATACTTGATTTTTGTTTCTAATGGTGGGGCTGAGAGGTGGAAGGGGTGAAGGAGTAATGGAGGAAAGGTGAGAAAAGACTTCTGACCATATGCAGAGTGTTTTTCCCTTCCGGCCAGCCTAGAATATTCGAAAATATGCTGGGCTAGGCTGAACCTGTCAACCTTTAGTAGACAAGCTAGCTGGATGTGTGAGAGCAGACAAAAGTCTGTCAATCCACATCAAGGGAAGGAGCTAAAGTTTGCAAAAGTCCAGAGGGT